GGTCAGCCTGGGGCCAGTGTGAGGAGAGCAGCAAACTGGGCAGTGGCTAGAGAAGTATGGCTTTGTGAGGCAGTGGTTTGGGCTTCATTCTTGAAGGGCTTTTAGCAGGAGTGCCTTGAATGGATTTCCATGTTAGAATGATCATGCTGGCTCCAGGGAGAATATCCCAGAAGACCAGCTGGGCAGAGGCAGAGAGAGGTGAGGAAGCTGTCCTATGAATCCAGCCAAGAAAAGATGGTGCCTACACTGGGGGCGTCTCTGTGGACCTGTCCTTCCCCTTTATCTGGGATAAAACTCAGGCATTGCTCAGTTTACAGGCTCTCTCCCTCTGCTAGACTGTGAATCCCTTGAGGGCAAAAATTGGAATTTATTTATCTCTGGAGCTTCGGTACCTGCAAGTGATAAAGCCCCCAGTAAAGGGTTGGTTGGTGCATGTCTAATGACAGAATTCCTTATGGACAAAAATGATTTCCTTTTGCTGAATGCCTCATCATCAGACCTCCACCCCACCCCTACACCCCTTCCACATCTTCTCTGCTATTGCTGTCTGCAGATATCTCTTGCAGCAACTACTCTTCCCTTTTACATTTGCTTGGTCCAAGTTATCCCTTGAACTCTGTTTCCCTTCATCAAACACAGATTTTGATTCTAGTCTTCATAGCCCCCTAAATATCTTGCACTGCCCTTTTCTCTGACCGTGGCCCAGCTCATCCCACCACTCTGTGCAGGCAAGACTTTACACAGGTCCCTCCCCTACCATCTTGAAAGTTTCCCAGGGGTGACCTCACCTATGTGGAGCACCTACTCCCTCCCATCTGATATCCTAAATCCATCTCATTATTTAAGTGAAAAAATAAAAGTTTTACCATCTGCAAGAAGTATGCATGAACTCCAACTAACCTGGTACAGAATCTTACCCAAACTTAGTCTCATTAATATGTATTCCTGTCAACTGCATATGATTTGATGGTTCTCCATGTTTTCTCTTCAAGGACATAATACCAGAGGTTTGCAGATTCACCTCCTTGTCTCTAGCTCCCTTGCCTGTACTTTTACTCAAGGTCCTTCTTCATCCTCCCCTTGCCCTGTTCCCTGGACCAAAGAAACTTCTTCTAGCCCACCGAGGTCTTCACTTTGACCTACTCCTGGAAATTAGGACTTAGAAAGATGGATTTAGAAGCATTTAATCCAATCTACCTCTAGGCCTGGTCCACACTTCAGCCCTGTCAGCTGACTTTATAATAGTGAGCACTATGTTACCCAGAAGGGCCTTCACAGACTCTTAAATTAAGAGAGTTAAAACTGGATAGTATCCCAGAGACTTTTCCTTTTCCCAGAGGCTTTCACCTACCAGGGGCTGGTGCCCTTCCTTCCAAACAGGTTTGTACCGATGTTGCCAAATAAAATATAAGAGACCCAGTTAAATTAGAACTTTAAGTGAAAAATGAATACTTTTTAAGTATGTCTCAAATATTGTATGGGATTTTTTATTTGCTAAATCTGACCACCATAGTTTGTATTTGTTACTCAGAGATTTATTTTTTTTTAAGATTTTCTTTATTTGAGAGAGAGAGAGCATGAGCAGGGGGAGGGGCATGGGAGAAGGAGAAGCAGACTCCCCCCTGAGTGGGGAGCCCAACCCTGGGCTCGATCCCAGGATCCTGATATCATGAGCTGAGCTGAAGGCAGAGGCTTAACCAACTGAGCCACCCAGGTGGCCCATGTTACTTAGTTTTTATAAAAATCATATCTACACTCATCAATAGGTAAATAATTATCCAGAAAACAAAGCATATATACATTGTTAGAACATGGAACCCTTGAAAAATATTCTTTGTGCTGTTTCTCACTCTGATGAAGGTCTTCTTATAAGGGTAGGTTTTTAATCATCTTTACAGTTCACAAGGAGTCTCTCACCTCTCTGCCCTACCTTTCTCACTTGGTTTATAATTCTCTTCCCTTGATTACTCTTTGCATCATTAAGTTCAACCATTTTGACCCTTCTTTCCTTCCCAAGCAATTACTATTCAATTGAGTACTTCACCTTGACTTGCTCGGTCTTATGATGATGTATCAAAACATCTCCTCTTTACAAGTCAGTGAACCACATTAAGGAAACACTGAATGGCTAGTAAGTAGTTCCCCAATCAATTCTTCCAAATTGACCTCAAGGATCAGATTCCTTTTCCCAATTGCCCCATGCTCTCCAACTCTGGGAAATCCTTCCAGAAAAGCAACACCAGGACTCCAAACCTGGCTCTGACCTGGTCTATCGTTGCTTCCCATCAGCTGGAGAAAGTTGGGAAAAGCAAAGGACCAGATAAAGCTCCAAACAATATTCTCACAAAGGAAAAGGCTGGATTCTTCTCTGGGTCCCAGGGACCGCCTCAACCATGTTGTTTACAAAAGCCACGCTATTTACAAATAGTGCCAGACAAAGGGCATGCCTAACATCACCCCAAGGAGTGGAGAGTTTAACCCATTTATAAATGCATGTTTGGGGGGAAAAGGGCATGAAAGGGAGCTATGACTTTCCAGTTTTCACGGAGAGTAACTGAGATTCCAAGTAAGAGACTGTAGGTGAGACTCAGAGGGAACCAGCATAGCTGGCAAGATCTGATAAGTCATGGATGCTCCCTGGGTGGGCTGGTTAGGAAGGAAAGACATTAGTGAGATCCAGAAGGAGTTGTTAGTGTATCAACGGGGGAAGACCCACTTTGTATGACCAGGGTCACAATTTAAAAACAGCCATTGTGGTTGAGAGGCATGTCATTGCTATTTAAAACTTCCATCATATTATTAGTATTATCATCACTCTCATCTGACTATCACTTCATTCCCCATGAGGAAGATAAGCCAGATCATTGTCACACACACACTATAAGGAAAGAAACCACCCTGAGAAGGATGGAACTTCTAGAGACCAGGTTTCCTGACTTCTGGTCCAGGATGCCTCCCTTGCCTAGCAGATAGTTTTTGGTCTATTAGGTACCAGCTGGACACTGGCCAGAAAGCCACTTTCAGACTCATCCCAGTACCTCTGGAAGAATGTGCTAAGATTAGGGTTTGGGCTGTACTAGAGTGAGCAACCCAGTGGGGAGCGGAAGGCCTGGGTTTGGATCTTGGCTCTTCTTTGCCAGTGTGGATTCTCTCACCTATAGCTGGGAAGAATGACAATTACCTCGCAAAGGTGCCGTGAGCTATAAAATGAGCTGACGTGTGTGGAGTCCTGGCACGGAACTGCAATATGCATAAACAGCATTATTAACAATGGCTCTAATTGTAGGTTCAGGAATCTCACTTGCATAGAGGAGTTCAAATATATGCAAATCCCCACTACGATAGGGAGGAGAGGGATGGAAACTGGTAGTTTTTCAAAGGGACCAAAAAACTTGTTGAGTTATATGTTTTTCTGAAGTGACAAGAGAAAGCTGCAAATTAATAATGGCTCACATTTGTCGAGCACTTGCTGTGTGTCAGACACGGTGATGAACCTTTACATGGATATCCTTATCTTTTCTCCATCACCTTATGTCTTAGGTATGGTTCTTCTTTGCTCCAATTTACAGGTAGGGAAATCCTTGGTTTAGTGGGGTTAAGAAGTTGCCTGATGTTACATGTTTTATAAGTGATGGGATCAGGACTCATTAAATTCATGTTCTTAAGCACACATGTGTAGCCCAAACAAACCATTTGTGTGTGCATGTTTGCATGCACGTTCGTAAGGAAATACACCAAGTATCAGCAGTGGTTACCTCTAGGTGGTGGGATTACAGGTGATGTTGACTTTCTTCTTTATGCCTTATTGAACTGAATATGTACTGCTTTTATCATTTAAGATGTTTTTCATTTTGATAACAAACACAAACTTTAAAAATAAACCAAAATGAGGACACATGTGGGGGGAGGAAAGATATAAATAGGCATGACATTTTCAAGGACCATTATATTAAACTTTCAATTTTTTCTTTCAATCCAAGAAACCTTCACAGAATAAAATGAACTTCTTGAAAATAAGAATTATATTCCTCCCTGCCACCTGAAAGCTCAGGTTCCATCAGCCCTGCCTTTCAGGCAGATTTGAGTTCTAAATCTTAAATCTGCTCATGGTTTGAGCATCAACATTAAACCAAAGATTTTATAATTACCTACAACATCACCATTGAGTTCTTAAAGTCCTTTTTGTTTTACTACATTTTCCCTTTGCACAACTACTTATAACTTATGAGCAAACCCCTTTCTCTTCTCTGGTCATTACCAAGGGATACAATGATGATAGATCCGCAAAGCGAACATTCATCTTACTATTTGCTCTGAACTCTGAAGTCTTCCTCAAGGAGAACTGTGATGATAAATAAGATTCAGTACCCCCGTAAACAGAGCTAGTCCTCAACGATGACCTCCATTGGGAGAGTAAGGAATTGAAAGCAAATCGAAGGAACTCAAAAAATGATGACTTTTTCCTGTTTTTCTGCTGTTGGCAATAGTGCATGAGGAGCATGAGAAATTCACCTGTCCTCCAGAGCTGGGGCTCCAGTTTCTCCCTGGTGAGAGCTGCTAGGGTCCCCTAGGCCATATGATCTGGGAGGATGAGAGGGAGGTGTTCTGAGAAGCCAAGAGGGAGGCTGAGGGAGACAGAGGCTGTGCTCTCCCTTCCATCCCATTGGAGCTTGCTTATAAGATGAGGCTAAGAGGCTCTCACAAGAGCAAATGGTTTGGAGTTCAACTAAGCAAGGTGTCCAGATTGCCTTCATAGACCTGACTTCCTGGGAATGCTCAGATTTGGAATTCTCTGGAATTACAGTTGCTGGGCTAGATGCATGAAGGTGGCAGGGAGGTAGGATAGCCAAATTTGCATCAACGCCAGACTACTAAATCAATGAAAAACCACCACTAAAAACCATGGACCTGTGAAGAAAATAGAGACAACTTGTCTGCCTACCCTTTGTTCTCTTTAATTTCATAAGGCAATGTCTCCACGTAAGTTTTAGAGAACTCACCTGTACATTTGCATGACTGTGTACCTGTTTGAATTTTGGTGATTTTCAAAGTGGAAAAGTGGGATTAATGATCAAAGTCTTCTAGGCTCTGAGACTGTGCTGGTGGGGTCACATGCTCATGCAAATCGCTCTGGATAGCATTTCCAGCTCCACAGGTTTCCAGAGTCTAAAATATACCCACAGTCCATAAAGTCTGGAAATACAAAATATTATTTTTAGTATTTTCTTTTTTACAGATTGAAGATGTCCTTGACAGAATTTTGTACATTTTATCCATGTTTCCAGAATTAACAGACACCATATGTATATATATTTTTTCCCTCACCCTCTCTTTTTTTAAGCCTTTCTTCCTCTCTTCTTTAGTCTTGACTCATGACTTGCTTTATTTTGAGCTACGGTATCAGTCAGGGTTCGATCAGAGAAGCAGGACCATCAGGACCAATACATAACATGGGATTTGTGATAGGGATTTGACTTCACACAATTGTGGGAGCCAGTTCCAGAGTTTATGTACTCCTAAGGCTGTTTCCTCTCTGTCTGAGGCGGGGCCTGAAATCAGCAGGACAGGCAACCCAGAAGGAAATACTCAAGTAAAGTGGGGAAGAGCCAGGGCCCACAGAAACGTTTAAGGAAGGACTGGAACCTGCCTCACCCTCCAACTCGAATGATTTTGCTGACCTGCGTTAGAGCTGAACATGCTTCTGGACCAGGCATCAGGGGAGCTGGAGGAGGAGACCAGGGGCTGGAGGAATCACATTGCCTGCCCTGGCCTGGGGGTCAGGGAACAGAGGGAGGAAACCCGGAGGAGCTGGGAGGCAGAGGTCCAGCTGCTGTACCATTCCAAAAAGGTGAATTACAAGAGATGGTGCCCAGCACTCTACACCAACCTTCTGAGTGCTCACATGCATACATACATTCCAAATCTCATGCCCAAGTCCTCTCGTGGCCCACACTAACACAGAAGTGTGCAAAGAAGACATCTGGGAAATGTAGCACTAGCTTAGTTAAGTCAACCCCAAAACAAATCCAGCATCACCTCCACTTTGAACTCAGATTCTCCGGGCATCAGCCCCACAGTGAGGCCGTGAACATTTTATCTCCAAAATGGTATGGAGTAGGAATTGGCAAACCTTTTCTGTAAAGGGCCAGAGAGTAAGTATTTTAGGCTTTGTGAGCCACATATGGTGTCTGTCTCATTCTCTTTATGACCTTTTAAAAATGTAAAATTCATCCTCAGCTGACAGGCAAGAGTTTGCTATTCCCTGGGAAGAGAGCCACAGCCTGAGAATTTGGAGGCCAGGCTGCTCCTCTCGGCTCCAACATGAATTCCCTGGGACCTAGAGGGAGTCACTTCACCTAGTGGGCTTGGACCTGCTTGTCTGCAAAATGAGTGTTTTGGGCTAGGTCAGCATCAAGAATGCACACCAAAGACACAACAGTCTGAACTTTGAGGGGAGTAAATTTTGCTTGAAGATTCAATATAGATTCTTATTGTAATATAGATTATTATTATTATTAAATATAGATTCTTATTGGGAATTAATTCAAGTATGCATTTCTTCTTTCAAAACCAAATTAATATATATGATATTAATAATCATGGATAGACTAGATACCTTTTTCTAAACAGAATTTCTAGAGGTGATCATAAAAGCCTTTGCCTACTCTTCCATTTTTGTCATTAGAGCACCATCTTGGTAGAAAAGGTTTTAAGAAAAAGGAGGATTTAGACTGAGTTGTGGAAATGCGCAAAAATCATGTTTGTTTGTTTTTGCAAAAATAATAAAATTCCTACTCCTTTATGGAGAAAACACTGAAACAAGCTTACACAAATGCCATCAGCGTACTATTTTTTGTAAGGGTACATTTCAATCTATTTCAAAACATATTAAGTCAGACTGGTAAATTGGGAACGCTAATAGAGAACGCCTTTTGCAAACACAGCAAATTAAAAAGCACACAACATATAATACTTCTATTTATTTTTAGGTGGACAATTATGGAAATTGCAAATCTGGATCCCCTGGAGTTTAAGACTACATTCTCAATGACTGACGCTTCTGCCAGAAATAATGGGACTGACTCACGACCAGCGACAGAAGATGCACAAACCCAAGACTTCCATTTTAAGAAGGAATAATTTATTTTATTCAACAAACAATTACTGAGCTTTCATAATGTGTTAGATGCTGTGCTAGTCAGAGATGCCCACTCAACCCAAGACCTTGAAGCTCTGGTTTTTGCCATTGATGGAACATTAAACATCAGCTTTAGAAATCAGTGAAGGAGATGAGCTTGTTTCTGTAACTGTCCCTAGATGAACTCTTACCACTTGGTCAGTGAGGCAGGGTCCTTGGGCTAAAAGATAAACTTTAAAAAAGATTAAATAGAGCAGTACAGAGAAGAAAAGTATAGAAGATATTTGGGGGATAATAACTTGCAATGGTCTCTCGTGGTAATGACTGGATCAATGACACACATCAGTGACCACCATCCTGCTGTTTTATCTTTGGATTGTGTACACTGGAAGGAGGCAAGCATAAAAATGATATAAATTGTCTTGCTCTAAATCATAACACACAGAGTATTCTTTCTTTGTCTCAAAAGCAACTGAGCATTGAGTCCATCTGACTGGGCTATCAAAGGTATGAAATGCCAGCAGACATTTCTGAAAAGCAAATATTCCTGAAGACTTCAGTTTTGTTTTGTTTTTTCTTTTTGATTACTCCTTACTTAGGACGACTAATAACAGAATGAAATAAATCTCTTAAAGATGTATTTCCCGGTCAAGGAACTTTTTCTTTTCTCCACAAGCGGTGGTCACCCACCACCTTTTAGGCTTGAAATACCAAAAAGAAAAAATCACCAGGATTGAGTACTGTAAAATATTCCAGGGAGCAGAAAGATGTGCATGAAGATGTCACTATTGAGTCACAGCTTAGAGCCATTCTATACCTTTTCTTTCGGTTGCAGAGTCCAAAACATTTTTGGAGGGTGTCCACAAATTCAAGAAACTTTATCACTTCATCTTTAAGCTGATGTCTTGTCATGAAAGCAGCTGTGTTAAATTCCAGGGACCCTTTTTAAGCAGAAGCTCTTTATTATTTTCTTTGACTGAAAAGGTATATTAGTTAAAAATGGTGGGTATAAGTATATCCTATTCTATATCTTCAAACCTGGTAATCGGTGGTTAGCTAGCAATTGGTGGTGGGCATGGGCAGTCACTCCAACTGGGCACATTCATCGCCAGACCTAGGGGTCACCAGAGAAGGAGGCAAGGGGTAGAGGGAGACTTTTCAGGTGTTTTCTCCTCTTGGCAACAAAACATAGCTTAGTTTCTAATGCCTCTTGCCTCCAGAATTGTGAGAAAATTAATTTCTCTTCTTTAAGCCATTAAGTCCATGGTTCTTAGAAGTCCTAGCAAACAAGCACACTTTTTAAGGCCAAATAATATTCCATCATATGTATATGCCATATTTTATTTATCTATCCATTCATTGATTGACATCTGGTTTGTTTCCATTTCCTGGCTATTGTAAATAATGCTTCTATAAACATTGGTGTACAAATAGCTGTTTGAGTCCCTGCTTTCAGGGACTTCTGGGTAGGCACCTTAAAAGTAGAATTTCTGGGTCATATGGTAATTCTAGTTTTAAAATTAAATTTATTTAGTTTAATTTTTTTGAGGAAGCATCATATTGTTTTGCATGTTTTATTTTATTCATCACTCATGGCAAAAGGTTATAGAGGAAATATAAAACAATATGTTTGTATATATATATTAGTTTGGATTCTGTAAAATTTGACCTCCGTTCTCTTTTAAAGCACTTTTGTCTTCTACTATGATGAAAATTTCCTTATAAAGACAAAATTGGTTTTTAATCATTTTTATTAGTTATTTCAAGTCTTTTATTTTTGCCCAACATTTTCAGTTAATAGGTTTTTGCAACCTTTGGTTACTCCTTGTAACATTCAGTTCAACTACTTTGACCCCTTTTCACTTCCTAAGCAATTACTCTTAAATGTCCATATCACTTTGACAGACAACATCTTGTTTCAGTCTCCATCAGTACATCGCCTCTTCTACTGGGTAATGATCCATGATAATGAAAAACAATGAAATGGACTGGGTGCCCACACCTTGGAAACTGCCCCAAGGAAGGCCTTCATGCCCCTTGCTTTCCCACTGAGGGAATTGCTCAAGATAAACCCTGAGGCTGAGCTGTGCCGCAGTAGTTCTGCATTAGCTGGAGAAGCCTTGGTCAGGAAAAGCAAAGAAATCTGTATGGAAGGATAATACTTCTCCCAAAAGCCTCTGAGAAACTGCCCCTCTATCTGTAAAATTAGAACATTTGGGCATTGTGCAAAAGTCCCATGTAAACCCACCTAACTTTATCCTGAAGGGATCCTAGCTTCTGTGTTTATGATGATTAAGTGTGTCTACAAGTCTTGGAAAAAGGGATAGAGAAGAATTACAGCCAACACTCCAGGGCCTGGTTTAGTGATGGAAGAATCATTGTAATGATAGAAGAATTTTGGAAGGCAGGAGGGATTTGACAGAGATAAGTGGGTGCCCAAGTATGCTAATTATTACAAAAAATAAAAAGTTGAAAAAATTTAAAAATAAACTTAACAAGTAAAATAAAGAACAATGCCTTAGATTAAATGTATTAAGGGGGTGGCTTGGGGAGAAATTTGAACAATTAGAGTAAAACAGATTGTTGGAAAAAACCTCGATGGTAACAGACAGGAAAGTTGTCTTGTGATGATTAATACCATTTTACTTTGGTTAAGCAAGAGGTGGTTAATAACTAGTAGGGGTGTGAGGGAGGGCTCTGAGGTGCTAGTAAAGTTCTTTTGCTTCATTTAGGTGATGATTAATATAAAAATTCACTAGCTGAACATTTATGACCTTTTCCTTTTTCTTTATGTATGTTATACTTCCAAAAAAAGAAAAGTTTATTGGAGGAAACACTTCTGGAATGATAGAATAAAAACATCCACAAATCTACTCCTTCATAAAAGCAACAAGAACACTGGAAAAAATTTATCAAAAGCCAACTTTTTCAGAACTCGAAAATTAACCTGACGCAGCCTAAGAAGCACTTAGAAAAATGGCTGAATCTCAGTAATCGCAGTGAGATTTATGGCATTTTAACTTACGCTATTACCATCCCTTTCTTCCCAGCTCCA